CCGCCCCGCCCCGCTCCCGCCCGCGCGCCACGCCACCGGGTCACGCTACTTAACGGTCGCATACCAATGAGAGTGCAGGACTCCGGCCTCGTTTACTTCCCTTAGCTTTATTTTCTCGCCTGTGTACTTGTAGTTGTAAAGAGGATTGTCATTCTGCAGCGGGTGGCGATTTTTCGCCAGAAAATTACTTCCTCTACTATCACTTTGTGTAGGGAGAATCCAACTGATGCTCAACAATCAGTTCATAGCGAAACGTCCGTCTGTTCGTTTGTTAGTTCGTCTATGGTAAAAAAAGTGCGTAAACCGTTCAGACGAACTTCTCCAAAACTAATTTTTCCCAATAGATCCGGTCGAACCCAAGACACTGCGAATTTAAAACGTATGTTTTGAAGTCGTAGGGTATCATATGGCAACAACAAACTTAACATTTGTAAGCTTTATTCAGATTTTTTGGTGGAAAAAAGAGTACAGGTCGCTTAAAAACAGGAGCAGGTTTCAATTTTGTCTGAATTATTGAAAGTTGCAAAAGTTACAAATAATGCGAGAAAGTAAGTGCTGTGGAAGCTACACTAGTGTTGGGTAAAAAGCTAGAGTTTCATATTTAGAATATCTACGATTAGAACTTATCTTAACCCTAGTACATAGTTCCGTCTTTTAACACCTTATCAGATGTTTACAAAACAGCAGCCGCCGCCATGTGTATTCGCTTCGTAGGATCTACGGCGTTTGCTAAGAGCCAAGTCTACCCACAAACACAGTACTCCCTTAGTTAGTATATATTGATGTAAGAACAGTCGTGCAGTTCGAGAAACTTAGGGAATATTGAACTCAATCTTGGAAATAAAGAACGTTACCACATGAATTCACACGGAAGGACCGCATGCCCAGAAAATTGTAAAGTGCATGTTCAAATTGCCAGACTCCCCAGTTTTAGTTCACAATTAGTACAACACAAGACAGACACGGAAGTAACTCCAAAGTAGTTGGCAATGAAAAGTGTGCCTCTGCGCTGAAGTGCTATATGTGCATATGGCGACAGGCTCTACGTGCATGTGGCATGAAGATATTGCAGGCAGTGGAGGCATTGAAGTTTCTTCGTGTCTTCTTAAGGTATTGTTTTCTCAGATCACACTTAAATGAGAGATTTGACGTGAAAACTGTTTTGGACAAAACATGAACAGAATGATTTCGATTTTTTTAATGCATTTTGTTCTCAAGAGTTACAATGATTCCAGAGGTATAAAATTTCATGTGTCCGGATATTCCTGTCTTGCGATAGGTATTTCGGAGAGAAAAAAATGAAAACGAGAAACAAAATGTATGGTACCGAAAGACATTCAGAATTTTGTTAAGGCAGCACACCTGCAAAATCCATTCATGGTCGAAGCAAGGGAGAAATGAGATTTTTTAGATTGCGTTCGTGAATCCAAGTCTTGGGAATGAGCAGCACTTCTCACATCAACGCAGATTTGGCATTGATTAAGACAATAACGTCCTTGAGAGACTCGAGGAATAGAAAATCTATGGTATTACCAAAAAAGTGAAATTCGTTCCATTTTAATAAGTAAACTCTTCACAGTTACACAAAATATATTATAATAAGCAATGGAAAATAAAAAGGATTTATTGAATACATTCCAGGTTATGAACACTGAATATCACGAGTTTTACAAGAAAAGTTGTGTATTAAAATTATTTGAAGTTTATAAACAAACACTGAGTGCAGGATATTAGTAATTATACCATTTTTGTACTCTAAAAACATTTTATTCTCATGAAAAATTACTATTTGGCACGTACACCCTTTTCCATGTTCACTCTTCAATTATATTTCAATTTATTCTGGGGCCCTTGCAGGGCCCGCATAGGCGCTCTTCGAGTACTGCAATGGCAAATGGTATGCGACTGTTAACTGTGATGGTTTTGACGTGTGTGTGTGTGTGTGTCCCTTAACAATAAACTAATCACTGCGTGGATTGAGCCTACCATGTTATCACTCTTGAGAGTGTATTCTTTGCTTATTTTTCTCCTTACAGTAGAGTCTACAAATTTCATTACTCCTTAGTAGAAATTGTCTTTAAAATGAGTTATTAATAACATGTGGTAGTTGACAATAACATGGTTGTAGGAAAGAATAAAATGTAGGTATGTATGCAACCACATATTTAGTTTTATTTATGCGTTTGACGAGCAGGGACTTAATTCATTTTACTCAGTTTAACTTCAAAACGTTGCGTAAAAAACTCAGAATTGTGATTTCACTGTTCATAGAGGATTGTAATTGGTCTCAAAAAGACAGGTTTATATTATGAACATAAATGTTTGTACACGTATGTTTAAGAATTAATGAAGATATAACTGAGATTCAACTATTCTTGTGGAAACCAATATAATATACACATAAAAGTTTTGTTTTGAATTGGCTTCTACGTTTTATCTCTTCACTAATCTAATTTAATTTGAAACTGTTGATTTAAAATGATTTATTTGTAAATGGTCAAATATTATGACTCAAAGGTAATTCGGTAATTTTATAATCGAAAACAATATACACTGTGAGAGACTGTCTATACATATTACAACCTTCAAACATTTGTGGCAGTAGTTCATGAAGTAGAATATTACTTGCAAAATACGTAAAAATTGGCATAAAATGTTGAGTACTTGTCACTGCTGGGAATAATTAATCTCTGTTAGGAGAAATTCGAAACTTACGTATAAAATATACACTTAACATCCCAAAATGTATTTCTGTTTGTGTGAGACCGTGTTTTCGGATTGGTTTCAAGAAATTTACGAGTATATAATTGATTCTGCTCCGTACTTTCAAGGGTATATTTATATCAAATTTATTAAGTTTTATATTTATTTTAAACGACATCTTCATGAATAAATTTTAAAACATTTTAAATATCCATGATACGGACTCTGATTTCCTGGCGTT